TCTCAAAATCAGGAAAACTCAAAAAATTATTATTATGAGAATTTGAGAAAGTTTAGAAAAATCTTTAAAATCTGTCTCTCATAATTAAGTAACTCTTAAATAAAGATTAACTCTTCTTAATTTTTTCTTTTCTTTCCTCTCCTCACTTTTAAACACAACTTTTAAATATAGTCTTAGGGATTGTTTGTTTATTTTTTAAATAAAAAAATTATGCTTTTTATATATAAGTAGAATAGTATATTTTTTAAAAAATAATGTAGCTCGCTAAATGTGATGCATATTTTATGAAATATATGAACGTTAACCTTGAAGATTAATTTTAAATAAATAAAAAGTGTCAAGTCTTATTTAAAAGAGTTATTTACCAAGTCAAAATTATAAAAATATTAAATATTGAAATTTTATACATATCACTAAACTCCCTCCAATATAAGTGTTACAAAACATTTTTTATCATTTTGAAAATTTTAAACTCTTCCACTAAAAATTGTCACTTTATTTTTATTTTTATTTTTAAATGGTTTAATTTATTTATTTGTACTGACTTTTAATTATTTATTCATTACACTTTTTGATTTCGTGTATTCGTAACATTTTGGATTTTGATTAGATTTTATATTTTTTTTAATAATAAAATGTAGATTAATTACTTTGGAGGGGATAATTAAATAATTTAGATTTTATTTCTCCAAGTTTCAATATTTTGTATTGAATATATGTTTAACACAAACTAGACATTTTTTGAATACATCATAAATATTGAGAATAGGAAATAACCTGTGTATTATTAAATACAATTGACTAGAAATTTCACATAATATTTTAATATTTTAAATTTATTCTTTTATTAGAGTTTTGTTTATTTTATCTATGTGTTTTTTGACCCTTTATATTCCCAACTTAAAAAATTATTTTTTTGTTAAATAATTTATGTTTTTTAAATAGTCAAGTTAAAAACAATTTAATGCTTTTTCAAATAACATTTTAATAATGTTATTTTCTCTCACATGTGAAAATAATTGTGCTTAAATATTATTTTATAATAATGTTTAAATATTTTAGTAATAGTATTTTTAGTGATTTATAAGTACTAATTATTGAATAATCATATTTTAAAGTAAACGCAACCTTATAAATTAATATTGGTTTTTATAATTAATATTGGTTTTTAAGATTAATTATTATTTTTAACTAAATAGTAAATTATTTTTTCATAATTTCTTAATGTTAAAAGTTATCTTTCCGTTTTTTTTATTTAATGTAATATAATATCTATTGTGCAATAATCAATATTCTTAAATTATATATAAAAGTTGTTGTGTAAATTTATATAAAGTGAAAACATTTTAGTTATGTTTTTTTATTTTTTATTTATAATTGCATAATTTTTCTATGTTTAAAATTTAATTTTCTATTCAAATTTGTTTTGAATTTAGTTTTACTTAATTTTAAAATTCTCATCTATTTATGTGAGTTTTGTTTAATATAGTAACATATTAATTATTACAATAAAACCATTGACTCTTTTAAATTTTAAAAGGTTTGTTAAATTTTAAAAAAAGCATATAATATAAATTGAATAAATATTCTTTAATTTAATAATATTTGAACAGTGTATCCAATATTCACTGATGCAGACTTTTAAATGTATATTATAGATAAATTATTGATTTTAAATTCTTAAAAACTAGAATGAAAACAACACTCGCATAAATTTCTATACAAAAACTCATATAAAGAAACTAAATTAAAATAAAATATTCATATAATTGAATAGCTACTAACAAATACTTAGAACTTGTAGGCACTATTTTTTCAATCAATATATTTTTAGTATATCTTTAAAAATATTATCGAACACAAACAACTTTTTTTTTATAATTATTACATTGTCATCATCTTAGGTACCTTTTTTTTCCCCCTATTATGCATTTGTCTTGTTTTATTTCATATTAATCAGGTTAGCCTATATATTTAATTTGAGTACTGATTTATATCATAGTATTTTTAAATAACAACATTAAAGAGAGAGATATATTTCTAGAGATGAGTTCTGTTCGTATTACATTAGGTGATATATTAATTTAAATTTCAAGATATTTTATACATTTTTTAATATTTAATTTGTTTAACTTATAAAATTTAAAACAATATAAATCTCTTTAATTTATTTAAATTAAAACATAGTTTTAATTTAATTGTGGACCAGAATAATAATTTTTATATAACTTAATACTAACACCGAGTGCTTAAAATAATAAAAAAACGATGTATGAAAAAGCCATTGTAATAATTGCAGCCTTCGTCAAGAAAATAAATAACTTACTGTGGTCAGCATGATCTATTTTTATTTTGGATACAGTTAACTAGGAATTACTATCATAATAGGAATTCTTACAGTGTTTAGAAATTCCTTAATCAGCAATACATTTAAACACGAGTTAATTCAGGATACGATAACATGCAATATATGATTGAATTAAGATTACAGTATATTTTTAAATAAATAATAATAAGATAAATATATTATTTTATCATATAAAATATTGGCAATTAAGTTAAAAATAGTCAGTATATAATTGTGAATATATTAGATGGAATGGGAGTGATCTGCTAGATAATTAAACGTGTCTTTAAAGCATGTCAGGTTTGTTGATGAAATTTAAAATCATAAAATTATATTTAAGATAGAAAAGATGAGTAAGACGCCTTAAATACCACTACTTTTAAATAAAACAAAGGATCTAAATTTTATTTTCAGGGAGTGTACCTTGTAAATAAATAATTTACTGATAGAGGTGTGGTTCTGTCAAAATCCGTTTTCATGCACAATGAATTGGAAAGATCTTATCACACACACAAATAGGCATGAGTTATTGCAGGTCTATCTTAGAAAGATTTCGAGGCTAGGGTAAATAGGAAAAACCTTTGAAAAGGACCTACCACCGACTCAAAACAAATCTATCAATTTTTTTTAATGGGAAGCGAGTGAGTTAATAAAGTAATACACAATAAACAGTAGTAGTAATAATCAAATTTGAAAAGGGAAAGTGGGGCAATGCAAGAGACGAGAGTGACGCTGTCGTGACGGCTAGGGTTTTTGGTTTCTGTCTACGGCCATAAACCAAGCCACGTAGGCCATCTGAGGTAGCATTTCCGGTGAACACGTGGCACAACTCTGGGATTTCACGACAGCGAGTGAGCGAGAGAGAATGAAAGCACCCCGCAAAACGACAATCTATTACCTAGGACCCACTTCTCCCAGGGGACCATTCCGACGTGGCACACTTACTCCAAATTATAAAAGAAATAAACGTATGTTCAGTCAATTTAATTTTTATAAACTAATAACTTAATTACATAAGTATATTTTATTACTGAGCGAACAATAATGAGAAAGATACAAACATTTTATGAAAAGGTGTTGTGAAATTGAATTTCGTTTCTTTGATAGGGTTTGATTACTGTTCTCAAATAAATACAAATAATAATTTGGGTTGTAACACTTTCTCCGCATTCCACGCTGATAATATATTTATCTTTTAAAGCAGGGATAAAAAAAAGGAAATAGTTATTGCCTTTTGGAGTTAAATGCAGGGAAGCAGGCAGCAGCCCCTTCCCCAGAGACCCTATCTATGTTCACAACGAAGATATTTACCTGATCAAAAGCGGAGGCAAGTCTACTATGCAACCAATACCAAGATCCGAGCCTAACAACCAGCCCCGCCACTCCCTCCGCGTGTCGCACTATTTCTTTGCCACGTCGCCCCCATAACACTGCCACGCTGTTCGAATTTTAAATAATTAACCACCGTTAAAATATATACCAAATTAACCTCAATTTAAAATTAAATTGTGTGAATTTTTTTTTAATTTAAAATGAACAAGCTCGTGGAGCAAAAGGAAGCTCTTATTAAATTGAATTAGTTAATATTGCACCATTTTTCTCTTGCGGTGTAAATTTTGAATGAAGCTAGATATTACCAGATAAGTTATTTAAGTTTCTGAATATTTTAATGGTGGGACCCGCGTACATGTCATGAAGCTACCACATCTCGCGAACGTGACAATTAGGCCAAAGGAGAGAAAATAATTTCTAGATCGGCAGCTACTGGGGGGCCCACTCTCCTTGGAAGTTCCGTGACCGTGACTCTGAGTTACTCTAGCTTCGGCGCTCCTCTGAGCCGTCCAATTGGAAAGTTTGGACGGTCAAGATTTGGGTTGACGATAGACGCGCCCGAACCTCTTGGTTTAGTTGCCATGTCGGACTCGCTCGTTCGTTGGAAATGAATGCGAGTGCCACGTCGGAGGGATCCAACGACGGAGAGAGCTAGCATTACTGATAACGCGAGGATCTGGTCCGTGGAGCAGAAATGTTTTAGTTATTTATTTATTCGCGCGTGGGCCCACTAGTGTAGTCTATTCTGAAATTATATAGAGAGTTAATTAAAGAAATGGAAAACCATAAAGGGTAAAAGTGGAACGGAAATAATGAATTTGACCGGTGGGAACGATATTTTCTGCGGTCACCTAGATTCCTTGTGATGGTGGTGTTTCATGTTTGCTTTTACCAATGTCCCGGAAACCGGATATACCCGGTGCACGCTCCACGTCCGTTTTGTATTTTATTATTTCCCCTTATAAAGTAATAACAGGAATTCAAAGTATAACATATTTGTACGCATTGATTGTATAATTAAATAAAAAAGATATTATACCAAATTGGCAGCGAGGAGAGAAGAAAAAGCTTGAGGACAAAGGAGGAAGTTGGACACGTGGAGGTGACGCGCTGAAAAGGGTTAAAAGGTGTTACTATGGAGTGGTGAGATGGAGGGCTAAGATGGTGCCATGATGTCACGAGGCGCGGGTGTCCGTTGGATGAGTGGAGAGAAGAAGGGTGGGGATTGGAACAGGTGACGCGGTGGAGAATCGTGACCGTCCAGGAGTCTTTGGAGTGGGTTTGGCAGAGAGTGAAATAGCGGAAAGGGGATGAGATTAGAGCACAAAAAGGGGAAGAGAGAGATAGAGAGAGAAAGAAGGGAAGAGAGGACTGGTGTAGCAGCAGCAGCGAGAGGAGGGGAAGAAGAAGAAGAAGGAAAGGAAAGATAAGCTAAGCTAAGCAGAACCAAGCCCCCTAAGATCTCTGTTTATTCTGATAACACGAAAAGAGGATCTTCCGTAGACAGAATCAATATCTCTCTGAGAATTTGGGGTGTAGGTGTGATTATGGTTTATGAGAGATGAGATAAATCTGGCGGGTGTAACTGATTCGGTCGAAAGAGAGCATCTTGGTGTGGAATGGACAGGATTAGAGAAGCTAGGAGAAGCACTATGGCCGCTAATGGTTTGACGAGAAGAAGACACAGAACTAACAGTCTCAGAGACTCACCAGGTTCCCAATTCTCTCTCAGATCTCAACAACTACCACTCATCTTTCCTTATTTGTTGATTCTCACGATGTCTGTCTCTTTTTTTTCTTTTTGTTTCTGCAGAGGAAGATGGAGCGATGGAGCTTCAAGAGCCGTCGAGGCTAAGAGATCGAGGGAGTGGGAAAAAGGATCGAGATCGCGAGAGAGAGAGGGAGAGGGAGAGAGATCGATTGGGACGAAGCAAGAGGAGGCGGGGCGACAGGTTGATGCACAGCAGCAGAGAAGATGGTGGAGAAGACACTTCGGAGGAGAGTATCAACGACGTAGACGAAGACGACGACGAAGACGGAGGGGGAGCCGGTGGCGGCGCTTCCGTCAGAATGCTTCCGCTGAACCCCTCGTCGCTTACCTCGTCTTCCTCGCTCTCCAACCACCATCGGAAGAGCTACCCTCCGGCGAAAGTATTTAGAGCAGCGCCGCCGACGTGGAAGGCCGCCGATGAGATGATCGGAGTGTCCGTGCCTAGAAAAGCACGCTCAGGTAAACCAACTCAATTCGCTTCGCAGCTTCAGACGTGAATTCGCCGTGTTCTGATGCTCATCTTTGTTTCTCTTCTCAGCGTCCACCAAGAGGTCGCACGAATGCTGGGCTTCCAGCGGCGGCGGAATAGCGCCGGAGCAAAACCACCAGCAGCCGTCGACTTCGCCGGTGAGAGCAGCGTCGGTCACGCCGGCTTCGCCTTCGTCGTCAAACGCGTCGGTTAGGAAGAAGATAGTGAGTTCTGGGCGTCGAAACCTCAACTGTTTTGCTTTGTCTTATGTTGATTTTTGGTATAAGTGTTAACGGCGGTGCTTTGTCGTTTTGACGGGTGCAGAAGCAGAATGGAGGAGGCAAGTTTCGACCACCGAAAATGACGTCGTCGAAGTCTGCTTCTTCGGCTCAGGAAGAGATCGAGATAGAAATAGCAGAAGTATTGTACGGCATGATGAGACAGCCTCAGGGACCTTCCAAGCAAGAAATCATCGCCACCGATTCAACCAAGTTCGATTCTAGAGAACCCCATAAATCTTCCGGTGACGCCAAGTCACCGATCTCGAACTCTCAATCGGCACCGCCTCAAAATTCCAGCACTTACGTTACTCCTATGTCAGCTGTTGGTGGGTTACTCGAGAAAATAAAAAAAGAAACGAAAACCCTTATTTTCAAACAATTGAAATTTGATTTTTTTAATAATTTTTTTTGTTGGGTTTAATTTTGCAGCTCCAAAGAGGAAAAGACCGCGTCCGGTGAAGCACGAGGAGGAGAATCCGGCGATATTCAGCGTTCGTAGCAGTCCTATTTCGAAAGCGGAGAGCGATCAGCCTTCAAAGATGGAAACTTGTTCGTCGAATTTGGATAAGGCCAACGCGGGTTCTGCTACTGCGGCTGAGAATCTGGCCAATTCGCAACCTGTTCAGGCGTCGTCGGAGGCGGCTAAACCGGAGAGCAACGGGTCGTCGGAGTCTAAGCCGTTGACGGAGGAAGTGGAGAAGCAAAAAGAGGTGGGATTGAGTAAGGAGGTGGCGGTGGCTCCTCAGTCACCGAAGAAGGAATCTCCTGCGCTCCAAGTAGTAGTTGATGAGCGCGAAGATGTGAAAGCGACTAAAGCGTGAGCAGCATCAACTTTTATCACTGTTTTCTTTTTTAATCATTTAACTTTTTGTGTGGAGTTTGGTCTGAATGTGAATCCTCATCTTTCTTTATTGATTTCCCTGGTTCTGCAGGAATCCGTCAATGTCCGAGAGTGAAAACCAGCGAGAAGAGAAGTTCCAGATAGATCTGATGGTGCATATCACTTTCTTTTTTCTCCGTTTCTCGTACGCCTCCTTTTTTTATCTTTATTTTTTTACCGGTGGGATTTTCAGGCGCCACCTCCTCCATTGAGGTCTTCTCCGGAAAGAGATGTGGCTAATAATTCGGTTGCTGACGCTGAAAAGGTAAAAGTGGGACAAGGTGGTTATTTTCATGTTGCCGGAGAAAACAAGTGCTTAACACATTTGGGGTGTGGTTTGTGCAGGAAGTTAAGCCTGCGATGAAGGAGGACGAGAAGACACACAGAATGAACAAGGAAGAAGCGGTGGCTGCGGAAATGGGGAAGGCGAGAGGGAAGGGTGGAGAAAATGAATCGCAGAAAGAAAGAGTCATTGACTTGCATCTTGATTTGGAGAAAAGTGATAGGGTGGACACAAGTGGCAATGTCAGTATGGTTAACAAGAAGCAGCAACATCAAAACGCTCAGAGGCAGCAGCAAACAAATGCAGAAAAAAATGGTATGCTCGAATTTGAATATTTGCTTCCTCTCTCGACTTTTTTGCTTATCTCGGTGCCTTACGATGTTTGCGTGTCCTCCTCCTTTCAGTTCAATCCAATTCGTTGCCTCTACCAATGTCTGTTCCCAGCTGGCCTGGCGGGCTTCCTCCAATGGGGTACTCCCAAAGTTTCATTCTTGTTTCGGAATTTTGTACTAGTTTTGTGGAATGCTGATGTTAGTGTGACCCTCTTCTCATCTCATTTAGCAGATACATGACGCCTCTACAAGGAGTTGTATCCATGGATGGCACTAGTGTGACCTCTGCAGCAATACCGGTACGTGCGCTTTTCTTTCCTCTTGAAATCTTCTGATCTCAAATCTCTCCCTAAACGAAATATTCTTGCTTCTACAGCCTCCACATCTTCTCTTTAATCAGCCTCGGCCTAAGAGGTGTGCAACCCACTGCTACATTGCACGTAATATATTGTATCACCAACAAATTGCGAGGATGAATCCGTTCTGGCCAGCAGCGGCAGGTTCTGCATCGTTATACGGGACCAAGCCAGGGAATCTTAACGTGGTGCCCTCCGCAGAATTGCATGGGAATGTTCCTGGCAGGGCTGCAAACTCTTCACAGGACAAAGGGCACAGTCTTGCCATGTTTCCTGGTCATATTGGGAAGGACAAAGGGTCTCAGCCTCCCAATGTGGATAATTCATCAAGAAAGCAAATCTTACTTCAGCAGGCTTTACCCCCAGGAGCAGCACCTAGTAATATTTTGGTATGTTTTATTATTTTTGTCTTGTCCTACTCTTATCTTTTCTTTTCTTTTCTTTTTTATAAATTAATTTGTGCCGTGTCACAAATTTCAGCATGGCCCTGCCTTCATCTTCCCGCTGAATCAGCAGCAGGCAGCTGCTGCGGCATCTGTTCGACCGGGATCTGTGAAGTCGTTGCCGGTTTCAAGCAACGGAGCACCGTCCAGTGCTTCCAATTCAGCCCCACCGAATGCTTCTGCTGCAGGAGCAGCAGCTGCTACTGCCCCAACAATGAGTTTCAGCTATCCAAATATGCCTGGCAATGAAACTCAGTACTTGGCCTTTTTGCAGAATAATGCTTACCCTTTTCCAATACCAGCACATGTTGGTGGTCCACCTGCTTACCGGGGAACCCATGCCCAGGCTTTTCCATTCTTCAACGGGTCTTTCTATTCTTCTCAGATGCTACATCCTTCACAGATTCAGCAGCAGCAACTTCCTGCTCAGTCGCAGCAGAGCCAACAAGGCCATCAAAATACCAGTATTTCTAGTGGATCCTCCTCATCTCAGAAGCAACATGCTCAGAATCAACAACAGAAGCCTAATAATGCAACTGGCTCCTGTGGTGGTGGGGCTGTGGGTGGAAGTTTGCAGGGTTTTCCTGTCACCAAGAACCCGCCATCGCAGCCCCCGCAGTTGCAGCAGCAGCAGCAGAGGCAGAATCATCACACTTCTCATCCTGCTCGCCAAGTTGAATCTGAGATGGGCGGTGAAGATAGTCCATCTACTGCTGATAGTCGTCTCACCCGCGCCACCATGAATATTTATGGCCAAAATTTTGCAATGCCTATGCAGGTGCCAAACTTTGCCTTGATGACACCTGCTTCAATTAGTGGCGTGGGTTCTAACGGCAATCACAGTGAAAAGAAGCAACCGCAGCAGCACCCTGGTCCAAAGGCTGGAGGCGAAACGTCTCCGGCATTTGCCATGTCATTTGCATCCATCAATGGTGCTACTGCTGCTGCTGGCCTTGACCTCTCATCTATTGCACAAAATCATTCAATCATGCAGAGTAATCATAACTATCAGATAATGGCAGCAGCACAAGCTGCCAGTGCCCAGCTAAAGAAGAATTATCATGCCCCCGAGGAAGGGAAGAATGTAGTTAATTCTGCCAACCCAGATGAAGATAGAAAAGCAATGTCGGGGAAAACTCCAGCAACGGTGGGACAATCCATTGCGTTTGGAAGGCCGGATGTGTCTGATGCATGTTTAACATCATTATCTGGCAACAACGTCATTGATACATCAGGCCGTAGTCTCAACCTTGGTTCTGCTTCTTCCCGGACTTCTGCATCTGTAATGCCTGCTGCCATTAATGCTAATGCAGCTGGTTCTCAGCAACAAGTGCAGCGAAATCAGCAGCAAATTCTTCAGCATCAGAAGCAGAATCAGTTTGCAGCTGCAGCCGCAGCTGCTGCTCGTAACAAGACCCCATCCACAAGCAACGGCAGCAGCGTCTACTCAGATAATCTCCCTTCCACATCTTCAATGGCCACCAAGTTTCCCAATGCCGTATCGGCATTTCCTCAGAGCTTTGGTGCTCAATCACCTCAGTGGAAGAACTCTGCAAGGGCAACAACTACTTCTCAGTCACCTCCATCTATGGCTTCGACACCACCGTCAGTCAAATCTCTTCCACAGCAGCAGGCTCGTTCCCAACAAGCTCACACCCAAATATCTTTTGCAGCAAATCCAAAATCATCGACAGCACAAGTCCAACCTGCAAGTTCCACGCAGTCCCCATCTCCCCCCGTCATGGTTGGCTCACCAACAACTTCATCGATGTCAAAAAATACTGGTAGCCCGAGGATAACTTCAACTTCTGCGAACAATAAAATTAGCCAAACCGCTTCCTTGTCTTCTCAGCAAGCCAAGAACTCTTCTTCTGTGCCTGCTCGCAAATCTTCACCCGTTGGTGGCAGGAATGTGCCATCAATACTCAGTGGCCCTCAGCTAACTCCCTCTTCCGGCACTGGGAGTAAATCCCAGTTGCCACAGCAACAACAAAAGCAACAGCAGCAGCAGCAACAGATATCAAAGCAAGCATTACCACAGGCCCACCTTTTCTTCTCAAGTCCTTACGTGCATTCTCAAGTCTCACAATCCAACAGTGCCACGTCTACTACCACTGCTGCGAGTGGTTATTATCTTCCACAGCGGCGTGGCCCTGAGCAGATGCAACGACCGGGCTCTTCTGGCACTTCCTCAAATGGTGCAACCGCGAACAATTCAAAAGGCAGTGCCTTACCTACACAGGGTCTTTTGCATCCTGCTCAGTTTGCCACAATGCCACCCTCTGGGAACCACCATCAATTTGTTCCTGCTGGCTTTCCCTATATTCATCCTGTACCCTCTGTTCAGGTGAAGCCAGCAGAGCAGAAACAACCTGCGGGTGAGTAGAATATTGTATCTCCCTTGGTTCCACCCCTATGCTTGTGGTGATCAAAGAACAGTAATGTGACTGAAGTATGAATTGGCATGGGATTTTGAAGTGCTAGAGATGGTGTCTTCTCAATGAAGGGTGAATATGTTATGCCGATGCCGTTTTGAGAAGATGTAGGTGGATAATGCTATCGAGTAGGTCACGGCCAACAAAGATAGATGATTTGGATTCCACAATTTTGGATGGGAAATCGACCAGACCATTGATGTGCATGAATTGTGTTTAGTAATTTCTTTGTACCCTTGTGTTTATAATCTGACAAGGTTGATCCTGAAGTCTAATCAAATTCGATTGGTTTTTTAGAAGGATGTGGTTGGGATGGTGGGAAAAAAAAGGATATAAAAGTTGGAGGAAAGGAAGGGAAAGAACCACCTTTTCTTCTTTTGGGGATGTAATGGAGTTTACCTACATGTTGTTCTTTCTCCTCTCTTTTTTTTCATTTTCTCTTCTAGGTCACTAGAGCAGTAAACATCTTTTTGACATGTCTATGTGGAGAAGGATGAATATGTACGTGTCTGGCTGATATTATAGTAACCCTCAAATTTTTTTAATTTAAAGATCAAAGATGATTTCCCTCATCCGTTCTGATGCCATCAGTTAAATTTGAGTGGGAAGTGACATATGGGATCAAAATTAGAATGGGTGAGTGAAAAAAGTAATAACACCAATTTTAAAGAATATGAATATGCTGGTTGAGAGGTGTGGACTTGCATGTGAGGCAAGTGAAATATTATTTCAGTCTTTTAATACTAGAGACCGGGTGAGTTTAAGATAAAATCGTTGGCAGCTGAAGGGTATTCAATCGAAGTTTTCGAAGTGCTTTTTTGATATCACTCATGTTTGGTTGGTTTTGCGCAAGGATGGCGTGGTCCGGATCATGTGGTAAATATAGCTTCAAAGCACACAGCATTAGACAATTTCCTTTGCTGAGAAGCGTGCCCTTTACTGTCACCATCGCACACGTGGCATGTGTATTGGGAGTAGATATATATAACTATTCATGATATATTATCATATGGATTATTATTATACTAAGCTGCAAGTATATCATTATAAATAAGATTAAAGAACGTGTGCGTTGGTGGTACTTGGTAGGGTAGCTCTTTTTCCTTCCACGTAATGGGAGGAAACTGCTTTCCATGTTTGCCCTTGATGGAGGTCCCCCCCATGAGACAGCACCTTGCCCCACTCAAGCAATCACAGCGTTTAGGCCTTTCAGAACCAAACTTAAAGCAGCAACCCATTGTGGGTCCTGACATCCCACCTGTGATGATGTGAAAAACTTTGCTCTTGTCTCTACATAATACACGTGTATCCAATGTCCTTATATTTTCTTTTCATTTCTCAAAGTAACAAAATGTTCCAAATCTTCTCTTTGCAACACATCTCCACCTCTTCCCTTCTACCTCAACAGGCCTACCCCCACTTTTTTTTTTTCATTTTTTTGCCTCGCTAAGTGTCAGGGGCGTAAGAAGCTACCGTTTTGATCTGTATAGTTCTTTTTCTTTTCTTCAATGGGAATTGGCTTTGTCAAAAGGTTGTAGTTTATTTAATTATAAAAAAAAGGAAGCAATTTTGCAATATGATTTTAACTTTGTTCCGGTACATGGACCAGTTCAAATGCAAAAGTTGTAGATAGATAAATAGATAAAGAGAGAAGACAGGGCAAGGGAGTGAGAGTGACGTGGATTTCTTTTTAAATATCCCTTTTCCATCAGCATAAAGGGAATGGATCTACTTCCTTCCTGTGCTGAAATGGCAGGAAAGTTTTTTAAAAAAATAAAAAAAGTTGAGTGAAAAATATAATCATTTTATTATGAGAATTTCAGATTGAAACCTTTATTCAGTGATTCATTTATTCACTTATCTATTTCTTTTTTGAGGGGCCAGAGATAAAGCATTCAGATCTTCACTTGGTTCCCTCTTGATAAACCGAAAAAGACAATATTTTGTGTCCTTTTCCCCTTCAGAGGGACCCGTGAAAGGAATCAATTAATGGAATAAGCAAAGTCCCCATACTCTCCATTACCAATTTGTGAACACTGAAAGATAAGCCTCAAGGTCACCACACCTAAAATCAACTATGACTTATCGCACCTTCCTGACCCCACTTCAACAGCTCCTAAAAGTCTTCTCCTTTCTATTTTATAATCATTATTTTATGTTAGTTGAGCATCATAAGCAGTGTAACTGACCCTTTGATCAGGGATCGCAAAGAGTCAAGCTACTTCAACTTTTTTCTTTCCTGTTCCCATTTTGAAAACCATAAATCTCCGAATTGACTCTTTTTTACTCAAGCTTCTATTTTATTCATACAACTAGCACCAGTATTTAGCTTTACTTTATAGATTTTTAATATTTTTAAATTTTATTTAGAGTAAAGTACTCATACTATAATAATAAGTTACCCATATAACTATTATAATTTACACGAATATAAGTATTATGATTCTTATGCTCATTAAAATTCTGTTGGGTAGTCACTTGTGCTTGTATGATGATCTGAATCCTTCTTGAAACAAGTTTGATTGAAGGATAGGCAACACTAACCATAATCATCCATGTAATTGTGTTGAATTAATATCCATCAATGTCACAATCTATGGAAATTGATTTATTCCTCAAAAGTATTAATTTTCAAGCTGTCTATTGTCTAGAAGTTCAACAAAAATTAATTTCTATATCTAATGGTTATTTGAGGTCGTATTTCTTTTGCTCTTATTTCTATCTGACGAGGAGGCTTACATAAATTTCAAAATAACGTGCACATATTTTCTCAACTATTAAGTACCTTAGCTAAAAAATACACACCTATTATTCACCTAATTCATTAATCATGTACTGTGTAACATCTGACGGGGGTAAAATAGGAAAAAGAATCGTTAGTTAATACGTAGTCACGTGCATTAATTATGCATTTTGGAACCACTTTGTTGTTTAAGTTATGATATCATATTATCATCCAATTTACTTGCATTACATTGCAAAACTATTCTTTTTCCCCCATTGATTGAAGAGTTACATATGCTGAAAGTGTAATTCAGTATCCTAATCCATATTCAACCGGTTAATCTCATTACATTACGTTTTGTCTAGATAGGGAAATCACTTGTGTGTGATTCATTGCTGCTGAAAAGGACATGCTTTTAGTTAGTAGCTAGCAGTTATATAAAGTACAAAATGGTATCAACTATTTTTTTTTTCGTATACAAAGATAATGTTTTGTGATGTAAGATGTTTGTCCCCATTTGTTGTGTGTCTACAGTCACACATTCAATGTATCGGTAGTTAGGGGAAGATTAGACGTGTGGTAAAGAAAAAATAAACGCCAAGAAAATGATGAATAAAGGATTGTTTCTCCCTCCCCTTTCATTCTAGTTAAAGAAAATAACTGTGTATTGTGTGTCAAAACAACCAGATTGTAGATATTAGTAAATGGATGAAGAAAGATCATGCTAAGATGTAGGCTACCCCACAGCATAAATAATAAAGACTCAAGGCTTAATTGGAAGGTCCATGTATTTAAGGCAGAGAGGTGAATCCACGTTGCAGGCATTGTCTCCATTAGGCGATGGTGCAACTTCTAAAGTTATTTAATAGTATAAGCAGACAAAGTAATGGGGTAAAGCTTTGCCAACAATGTTTGAAAAGGAAAGGATATACAATGGAAGGCAATTCACATGTGTTTAGATAAATATTTGTCCTTTGATTACTTGAGAAAGTGGAACAAGCAGGCTCTTTAGTTACTGTGTGTGACACTGAAAATCTCATTCATATGAGGGAAATTAACAAAGTGTCGCAATAACCAATCATGTGGGTTGGACTTTGGATTTTCATTTATAACAAATTGAGAAAAAAATTTAATGACCACCGGGAAGGGGAATGGGTAGAAAATAGTGGTGGGTTCCTCCCTTGAATTAATTAATACTTGGCTCCATATTGGCCTTTAATAAATAATAATAATTGTAACTCAGAACAAATTCTTGACAAGATTTGATAGTGGCATAAATTGTGTTGGTAAGTGTCTTGAATTCAATAATATCTTAAAATGTGGTTGACCACAAATGGAGAGAGAGAGAGCATATAATCAACATATCATCCTGGATTCAACTAAATTACTTCTATTTTTTTTTTTCAATTATTTCTTTCCGGTCCCTTTCCATTTTGTTCTCTCTCTTTATAATTTAAGCGAATTTTTTTAATAAAAAGTAATTTTGACTTAAGTTAAATAAATTTACTTTAAGCAAAAAAAATTTGATTAAGTAAAAATAAAAATACATTATAACATTTTTTTTTTGCTTATTTTCACTTAAGAAAATCTTTCTCTCACAATACGTGTCTCCCTCTCTTTCCCTCCTTCCAATCCAGCTATCTTCTTCTTCTCTCTTTCTCACTTAGTTTCTTTCTTTCCTCTTCTTTCTTATATTTTCTTCCTTCAGTGCTACCCAGTCTCCTTTCTCCTCTCTCCTTATCTAGTTCTCATTCTCTCTTCATCTAACTCTTTTCCATTTCCTCCCATTAGCCCACTCTCCCTCTCCCTTATACTCTTGCCCCATTTTCTCTCCCTTTCTCTTTTCTTCTTCTTGTTTTCTTGTCATTTTTTTAAATTTAATTAAGCAAATTTTGCTGGTTTAAACTAATCTTTTTTTAGCTTAAATCAAAATGACTTAGGCGATCCAGATCGCAACTTGCGTCCAGAAAGAACAGTCAACACACAGAATACTAACCACTGGGGACCCTTCCTTATCTGAACCATTGGCTTGCACTGTTGAAAATAAATTGAATAAATGAATCCGATACATCAATTGGTCAACAGAGATTGAGCTGAAGTATGGACAATTTGAATGCACATTTTCATGGCCTCAAAAAAAAAAAAAAAGCAATTATCTAACCTCGTTGTTTCTGTGTTTATCTTCAAACCTTAACTATGAGAACTTGCGCTCAAACAGAAACCAAGAAAAGGGAAACAAAAAACACATTCTTTCAGCGGTCACTGCAGAAGCTGAGTGAGTGGCAGAGAGGGAGAGGGAGAAGCAAACCAGGGGATATATAAAGTTAAGAGAACCCCATCATTAAATAGATGCAAAATTTAAAATTCCAAAACCCATCTCAAACGAAGAAGATGAAGCAATTAAAGTATACCATTCATTTGATTTCTCTTCAGCGGCTTTGGCCTTAGCTGAAATGGATATCTTTAATGCTTAGAGTGAGGTTTAGATTCTGCAGATCGAAACCATGATGACAGTGGTCAATCTAGCAGGAGAAACTCGTGTCAAGCCTGTGGTCTCTCTAACCGTACCAATAAACTGGTCCAGTTGGAACTATATTCAACTCAATCTGGTTACTGATTCAAATCCAAAATGAACCATAAAATCTACTATCCCTCCAGAAAGAATCACAAAATTGTGTTACAATTCAAAGAAAGGTACCTCTGAAGTGCCTTGGCCTGGCTTCCTCTTCCATTAGCACCAAAACAGAAACCATTAAATACAAGAAGTACAAATAATATCTGCACTCTGCAGTAGGAGCAGCAAATGTGGTTCCCCTCCACCACCCACACATCCCATACAAGAAAAAGAAAAGAACTTCCTTACTTTCTGATCACTTCCATCCCCAGGTCCCAGGTGGGTTGAGAACCCTTCACATGATTTGATTTTTGATGCAACATCTCTTTTCACTTCTCTCTCTCTGTCTCCCTTGTATGTATTTATATACATACAAGAATTTTATAGGTGTCATTTATTGATTATTTTTATTTAAAATTTGAAGTTTTGTTAATATATATATATATATATATATATATATATATATATATATATTCACTATTTCTGTATAAATGATGTATGATGTTTTCGGAGATATCTTTTTCTCTGTTTTGAACAAAGTATATTCTCATTTATTTTTAAATTAGCTTAATTATAATTATAATATAATTATATTTAGTATTTTTTAATATGATTAGCTCATCATTCTGATAAAATTTAAATGACAGATTAATAAATATAATTAAAATTAAATAAATAATAAATTAAAGGAACCAAAATCACATAATTATAAATTGAAGATAAAATCAAATAAGTATTAAAAAGGAAAAAATTGTGTAATAAAAAATAAAAAAAAACTCAAATTAAACAAGTACTAAACTAAGATGATCAAAATTATAATTAATATTTAAAAATTTGAATTTGACTTAATGCTTATTAATTATTCACTCTTAATTTATTCATTTTTTTTCATTTCTTATTTTTTGTGACTGAATAATTTTTTTCTTTCCAATCAAACTCAATAGTCGGAAACAGTGGTAAAAAAGCATGGTTATAGATATCCATTAATTATTCAAAATTCATTTCTTATTTTAATTCATTTTACTATTCATAAAATAGTTGCTGGGGAGAGGAGGAAATTAAATGTTCAATGTTTTTTTTTTCAAATATGCATATGTTTCTTTCATATCAATTTAAAGTTATATCAAAATTACCTTATTTATAATTTTTGGTTATTTTTTTATTTAATATATTATGTAATGTTTATAAAAACATATGTTTAATTATTATGTATTTACTTATGATTTAACTATAGATTATAAATAAATATTTTTGTTAATATAATCATCACTCTAACTTTTCAAAACTAATATTTTCTTTAATTCTGTGTGCAAATTCCTTTCCCTCCTTTTCAAGCATTCATGAAATCCAAGAGCAGTTTGTTAATGTTCAACTTTACTAAAAACAGAATCCACGACAAAGCACAGGCT